GGAGAGCTCCCACAAAGCCCCAGGGCAGAGGGGGTTGTGTCACAGTGCTGGGCAGAGATGAGAAATCGGTCCGAGGCGAGACCAGAGACGGGGAGCGAAGCGGCAGAGCCCAGGCAGCAGCAGGGGAGGGAGCAGGGCAGGGACGGTGCTGACCTGGTCTCCCCGATCCTCTGCAGCGTCTCATAGACCTGCAGGAAGAACTGCCTCGGGATCCCCTGCAGCCCCAGGATGTTCTGTGCAGGAACAGCAAGCGTGGTGACAGCCCGGCACAGCCCGGCCGGCCCCGTGACCGCAGCCATCAGCCAACATCAGCCAACATCAGCCAACATCAGCCAACATCAGCCAACATCAGCCAACATCAGCCGACATCAGCCAACATCAGCCAACATCAGCCGACATCAGCCAACATCAGCCGACATCAGCCAACATCAGCCAACATCAGCCGACATCAGCCAACATCAGCCGACATCAGCCAACATCAGCCAACATCAGCCGACATCAGCCAACATCAGCCGACATCAGCCAACAGCAGCCCGGAGCTGCCGGCAGAGGCTCTGATTTGGGTTAACCACAAAGGAAGTGTGGCAGCCCAGCAGAGCCTCAGGTCCCTGAGGGACCAGCGAGGGGCTGCTGGGGCTGCAAAACCCTCCCCCAGCTTCCAAATCTGCAGACCCACCGTGCCAGAGAACCGCCCAGTGCCTCCTGCAAGTGACCACAGGCAATGTCCTGGTTTTGCCGGTGTCCCGGGTGCCAGCAGCTGGTCACCGGCAGAGGGTGCGTTCAGCTCGGTGTGCTCAGAGCAGAGCGCCCAGGGACCCAGCAGAACCACGGGCAGGGGTTCCGTGACGGCACCAAGCACATCGCCCAGACCGGGGCTGAATGCCCCAGTTCCACAGCACCAGGAGAGGGCTGCTGAGGCATCCGGGACAGGGCAGAGCCTACCTTGATCTGGTTGAAGCTAATGGTGACAGAAGCAGCTGATGTAAACCCTTTAATGACAGGGCAGGAAATGAAATCCAGAAGGAATCCTGCACGGGACGGGAGGCAGTGAGCACGCTCCCGACCCCAGGGTGTGCACAGACAGCTGTCACAAGCGTTAGCAGGACAATCCCAGTGTCCCGGACAGCAGAAGGGAGGAAGGAACAGCTACAGCAATATCCTAAACACATCTGTGCATGGCAAGAGCATCTCACCGAGGTGCAGGAGCCCCATGGCCAGCTGAATGCAGCCAGAGAGGAAGGCGAGGAGAACGGCATGGACGGGCTCGTGGAAGGCGTATGAGGAGACCAGCAGGGACATGATGGCCGTGGGACCCAGCGTCACGTCCTTGGCCGTGCCCAGGAAGCAGTAGACGAAGCAGCCCATGAAGGAGGAATAGAGGCCGTACTGCAGAGGGACAGAAGGGGCACTGGCACAGCCCTGGGAGCTGGGAGAGGCCCGACACCGCCCGGACCGGGCGGGCTGGGCTGATCTCGGGTCACTCCAGGGTCCCTGGCACACGCGTGGCATCCTGCCCGGGAAATGGGCGACTGCAGCCCTTGGTCACCCAGCCCAGCTGAGCCCTGCCCGCCAGGCTGCTGCGGGAGCGGGGTCCCGGAGCCGCCCGACCCGGAGCGGTGCGGGGAGCGGCAGCCCCGGGCCCCGGCACCCACCTGCAGCGGCAGCCCGGCCAGCTCGGCGTAGGCCAGCGCCTGGGGCACGGTGGTCAGTCCCACGGCCAGCCCCGCCAGCACGTCCAGCGGCAGCCAGGCCCGGGAATACCGCGGGAGCCAGCGCAGGACCGGCAGCGCCGGGCAGCGGGAGCCGGGCATGGCCGGGACCCCGGGCCGGTACCGGGGCAGAGGCGGAGCGGGATCCCGCGGGGCCGGGGCTGTGCCGGTGCCAGCCCGGTCCGGCCGCAGCTCCGCCCGCACCGGATCTGAGCGGCCGGGGCGCCTCATGTGACCGGGGTGAGGAGGAGCCGGGGCGGCCGGAGGAGCCGCCGAGCCCCGCTGCTCCTGCCGGTGCCGGTGTCGGTTCCGCTGCCGGTGCCGGTTCCGGTTCCGCTGCCATGCGGCCCTGGGCGCTGCTGCTGCTGCTGGGCGCGCTCCGGACCGGCGGAGCCCCGGCCCGCAATGTGCTGCTGCTCCTGGGTGAGTGCGGCCCGGAACCGCCTGCCCGGGGCTGGGGGCGT